GGGGGGCGGCGCGCGCGTCCGATGACTAGAAAGGACGGCGGGTATACATATATACCGGGTACACGGGGTCTGCGGATCTCATTCGCTCGCGGGAAACGAGGAAACAGGCGAATGGGAACGCGAACGTACCATGGGAGTAGGAAAGGTACGACTGCATCTTGGCACGGCTGGATAGGTGGAACAGTATGAGGAGCCAGTCCTGGGGAAAGGGTTTCGAGGGGAGAAGGAAGGACCGCGGGGGTGGAGAGAGAAAGAAAAGTTTGGAAGCAGCGGAGGAAGAAGATAGATAGACGCGTATTCGATTCGCTGGAGATGGAACGAGGGGTCGGGTAGAGGGCGGCGAGGGGGTGGGGTGGGGTGGGGTGGGGGGGTAGTAGGAGGTAAGAGTAGTTGAAATAGGACGGGATGGGGTGGGATGGAACGGACGGGCACAGTGTATACGCGTACACACGGGGAAAGGGGGCGGCATGGAGGGGCACGCAAGCCAAAGGGACGGGTGTAGAGAAGAGAAGCGAGAGCAGAAAACGATAGAGTAAGAGAAACACGGCGAGTTAAGGGGTAACGCGATGGGCATGGGGGAGAGAAGGGAAGCAGAGGTAGGTGTACTCGATCAATAGGCAAGTACGTTCCTTCAAAGGAAAATTCCTGACGCTATTAAATCCAATTTAAAAACTTTTATTCCCCGGGTGGCCCGACAGTCTGCACGGGCGAATTTATTTTCCGACGGTCTCCTCCCTGCCCATGCCGTTCTCCCTCGCACGCCGACTTCCCCTCCCGTCTCTTCTTTGTACCTCCGAAGAAACGTAAATTGATAAACATTAAATTATCCTGAAAATAACTGCGTGCGCGGTTATATGATGCGTTATGCCGTTGCCGCGACTGGTATGTCGCTCGGAATCATGCGACGCGTTCAAAAGGAATCCCGAACGCGTTCGAACCAAATCATAACCAACCTCTGTTTCCATCGCGCACCGACTTACACGTCCTCTGTATTTCATTGCTGTTCCGTCAATGTTTTGTAACAATGGTTAACGGAGAAACTCGCGTTTGCATTTTACGCGAGCACCAAGTCGATCACAATGGGTCTGTTGCAATGCGAAATATTAACACCTCGGGCGCGACGTGATTTTCCGGATCTCTTGCTCCGCGTGGCCGAGCAATGTTCCAACATTTGGTCGGTGGAATTCTCCAATCCTCGTTTCGAGGTATAGCTTACACGATGCCAATCGTATTATGATGTCAGTTCTCTTTGACCCCCCCCGGATTCTGTTCTGGTACGATAAAGATGTTAGAGGGGTGGGGAGGGGGGTGGGGGGGGGGGAGAAAAAAATTAAAAAGAGTAGATAAAATATGCTTGTTCACCCTTCCACGTATCCGCCGTATAAAGCGCTCGTAATTTTTGAATCTTACGAGATGAATATGCCGATTTTTAATATTACGCTGTGCGCGTAATCCAACCTAGAGCACCTATTTGTTACCGGTCTTTTGTACAATTTCGATATTTTATTGATAAATGTTTTCTAGAGGAAAAACAGAAATGATTGATAGTTTATCGAAGAATGTAATAGATTCGTGTGCTGTTTCGATCTGACAATGAGAGGCGCGAACGGAACGAATTGTAAACTGAAATAGTCCGACTCTGTAGATAGACTAGTACGGTTAGCATATTTTTCGACTTCGTTCGATCTCGTACAGATATTCTCTATGGTTGATGTTCGTCTTCGCTGCCTTTGCCTCCATCTTGGTTATTCGCCCGATATGCCAGTTACGAAAACTAATATAATACACGATTATCATTTGTGGATACGATTAACGAATGATCGACAATCATGACTGTTGATTATTAACGAATAATCAATAATCATGATTAATGATTAACAAACAATCCAAATGACTCGTGATTAATGGTCGGTAACCATGATTGATGACCGATGAATTGTCAACAATCACGAATAACGAGCGATGATTACCGAACGATGAACAATCGCGAATAAATTCATGTTTATAAATTATTACAAATAACGAATCAGCAACAATCATGATTAATGAACGATGATTAACGAGTTAATAAGCAATCATGCACCGATAATTAACGAACGATGAACGATCACGAATAATTTCACATTTATAAATAATTATAGTTATCGTTGTCCAAGTTAGTCCCATGTCCGATGCACACGGAATCACGCAAACGTATAATCAGTTATCCAACAGCTTTGTTTCTCTTCGTAGACGTTTCACACACCAAGTTTCGGCGACGAGGACTTTGAAATCCCCTCCATTCACTCTCATTCGCATCAACAACAGCACCAACAGCAACAACGCCAACAACAGTCGCAACAGCAATCTCAGCACGATCCGATGCACGGCTATCAGTCTCAGGTGAGCGAAAAATTTTATTCAGTTTTTCTTTTTTTCTTTATTAAACCTCGAGAATTCCGTTGAAATTATATATAATTGTGAAATGGCTTGTATTATTAAGCATTACGTTTCATCGTAGAATAAATACGATATACATATAAGATACAATCGGTATCGATCGGTTTTGCAGATGATGCAGAACACCGGTGGTGGTATCCAACAATCCCCCGACGGATTGAATCTCGATCCTGGTGGATATCAACAATCGCTTTATTTGCAACAAGACCACTCGTTACAACCGATCAGCGTCAGGTATTAGAAAATTATATTTCTCTGTACGTGCAATTATCACTTTGACCACCTTTATACTAGAAACGTACGAAAGAAATTATCGAATATTCTCGTACGTGTGGTTTCTCAGCAAAACGAGTCAAGTATCGTAGTAAGCGCTACGAATGAATTCTAACTCCATTGTGTACCGACTCGCGCACCCGGCAGCTGTCTAAATAAAAGCCGGTTTTTGCCATCCGGAACAATGCTTCTTCTCGTCTGTCGCATTCAATTTCATACTTTAATGAAAATTAAAATATTCTTACACTTTTAATCGATCGATGAAACTTTTTTTTAGAAAAATGAATCTAAACAAAATGTATAATTCGTATATCATACATGTTAATTAGTTTTCTAGAATACTTTATTATCTGAAATTTCTCTAAGGTTACTCTACGAAATACAGTGGGACGTATTTCTATTTCAAGAATATGATAGTTGCGAGATTAGGTAACATGTTATTCGAATTAGCATTTTGAAGTGATATCGACGACATTAGATGCATTCAGCAGAAGCAACTGTCGAGTGGAAACAGAACATTCAAGAGAGAATTACTCGACAGTCGTCTTTGCCGAATGTACCCGTTGAAATAGACGTTCAAACATGCCGGGTCTGGGACGTAGGGGAAATTGGGCCTGTAGAGTTGCATGCCTAGCGAGGCCGCTGCTCGCAGCGCCGCGATGCGGGTCACAAGTCACAACATACATCAGCCGTTATTGCGAACAAACCAGTGAGAAGTGAGACGGCGGAAGTGCACGTGTTTGCTGAAAATGTTGAAAAATTGGTGGCAAAAACACAACTTGTAGAATCTCGAATAACTAATCGAATTAATCGATTGCCGGCCTGAATATTCTCGGTGAATGTTCGTAGAAAATAACGAGTGTCAGCCGTACGTATCGCGAGCTCAGTCTTTAAAATCACTAACGCGTTAAAAATGAGTCAGAGATACGAGGGAAGTCGCCAACGGCTGATTGCAAACGCGCGCGAACAAATAAATTGTCATGCTAGCCAGCGACCGATTTCCTTTCCTCTACGATCTAGGCTTACTCGAATTTTATTTCAAACCAAGAAAAAAGTATTTACAAATGAAATGATAACATTTAGCGTGTTACTAGTGTAGCGTAACTGTAGTGTTACGCTAGTGCGAGCAAAACAAAGGCTTCTCCGTTTAATATAAATTGGACTTTCTGTATTATCAAGAAATTTTTATTTAATTTTAAAATTGATTAATTTGCAACTATATTCGCAAAATAGAAATACAATGTAAAAACAAAACCGATTAAACGGATCGAAACGACATATATATATATATATATATATCGATATACATATAGAACTTTAATATAAATTGTTTTTAGTCACTTTAACCTTGTATTTCATTGATATTGTTTCAGTTCGACGTACAGTAACTCGCAGGGATCGTACGCGACAATGAGTTCACCTCGTCAGCACCACGAAAACCAGCAGATGATGTTGCTTCAGCAACAACAGCAGCGACAGCAAGCTCAAATGCAGCAACATATGCAGTATATGCATAATCAACAGCAGCAGCAGCAGCAACAACAACAACAACAACAGCAGCAGCAACAACAACAACAACAACAAATGCAACAGCAGATGCAGTACAGGAGCCCGACGGGAGGCAGCCCGCCCGCAATGCAGCAAAACACTGTTCCAGAACCAAACAACAACACTACCACCAGCGAGGACAGCGACGACAGCACGCCACACTCCGGGATGGTAAGTGAAAAAAATGTCGATTCGAAAATATTACCACTTTATTATAAAATTTATTCGAATGAATTGTCGATGTACCACCGAGTCCCAAATGTTCGGAAACAAGCTGTATTGAAAAATCAATGTACTTGTGCTCGCCTGTAACTATCTCGGGGCCCACCAGTTTGTCGGCCATATTGCTGCGTCGCTGTGGCCATTGGCTGGCCGCGCATGCTCCAAACACCCTGCTTGTATAATAATAATACATACTGGTTATATACCTGCTACGTTGGGTTCTCTCGCCCTCCCATAAAGGATCCCTTACGAATCGCAGTTGTGTTTGTTTAGATCACAGGTATCAAACGGCCCTCGCCTGAACCAGCAGACGTTGGAGCAAAGAATCAAAGGAAACCAAAGTCGCAGAAGAAGAAGAAAAAGAGAGATCCTAACGAGCCACAAAAGTGAGTAATTTTCTCACGGTTCAAGCGTTGTTCGCGCTGAAAACTGTGCCAATCAACTAATCTGGACATACAAATGTTTTTATAATGCACGAACGATTATGTTCCAGGCCCGTTTCGGCGTACGCTTTGTTCTTCAGGGACACGCAGGCAGCGATAAAGGGACAAAATCCAAATGCGAGCTTCGGCGAGGTGTCCAAGATCGTTGCTTCGATGTGGGACGCTCTGGATATCGAGCACAAGAACGTGAGTACTTGTTGCATGATTCTCGCTGGTCAGAAAATAATTCCACGCTAGAAGAATAACAAAATTATATTTGCAATCGTAATTGTCAATTATATCACATTTTATCCAGCTTGGAATTCGCACCTGTAATTATACGCTCGTGCTCAATTATCTAAGGGGTAGTTACAGTGTAATCGTATCGCGAAAACTGATACTTATATTTTTATCGTAAAATTGAAAGGTTGTAATTCCGCTATGAAACCAACAAATGAACCGTAAACCAAACATGTTGCAACCGAAACAACCAGTTTGAATTTTAACTCGAAATCTTGCATGCGCGTATCGAATTAATATAACTAGTTGGTGTCGCGACTTTTTATTTATAGACTATACACTTGTTCGGTGGTCGCCATTAATTAGTTTCACAATATCTAGTTGACGCGTGACGAATCAAGACTTTTTCCATCGTACGTTCGGACATAAATAAATAAGAGAAACGTTGTAGCAAAAATGTAGAAACCGAATCTGGACAATTTTATGTGAAATGGAGATAAGAAGCAACTACTTGAAATGATATTTCTCGCGACGTTCTTTTTAAATTTTTATAAGTTTTAAATTCTTGCGTTTTCGTAGGTTTACAAGAAGAAGACCGAAGCCGCGAAGAAGGAATACTTGCAGGCTCTGGCGGCTTACAGAGCATCCCTCGTCAGTAAAGGGGCAGCTGAAAATGAACAACAACAACAACAACAACAACAACAGCAGCAGCAACAGCAACCGTCACCGCAACAGCAGCAGCAACAACAGCAACAAGTTCAGTACGCAGCGTACGGCAGCTACGCCGGAAGTGGAACACCCGGGAACGTTTCTTATCAAGTGTACAGCCCGCAACCTCAACCGCCGTCGCCTCAGCAACAACACGCGCATCAGCATCAGCATCAACATCAGCATCAGCAGCAGTCGCAACAAATGCAAATGAAAAAATCCCCCCATCATTTGGCAATGTCAGGAAATCAGCAACAACAAACGCAACAGGTGACGATATTTCTTTCCCCGTATCAAAATCTCTATGGTTATTCTTCGTGAAATGATTTCTAGTTTTTCATATTTAAATAAAGTAATTTGACCGTGTAATAAATAACATTTTTTAGCGTTAAAAAGGTAATGTATTCATTAAGAAATTTATCAACGTTTCGTCCCGAGTTGCTGGGTGGACACATCGGTAAGGTTGATCCAGAAAACTCTTGTATAGAATTCATCAGGATTAGACCTACCGATACCGAATTAAATTAACTATAACAATTGTTATTTCTCTGTTAATTTCATACTTTATTTAGGGTTTGATGAACAATTCAATGGCGCCGACACATATGTCCCAACAACAACAGCAATCGCAGTCACAGTCGCAGCAGCAGCAACAACATATGCAACAGCAGCAGCAGCAGCAGCAGGTCTCGCAGCAGCAATACATGCAACAGGTTAGTGAGATTAGCTGTGAACAAAACGAAAGATTTTGATGGAAATTTCCAATTCTCAAACTATCGAGGCTCTCTTTTTCTCTGTTCCAGGTACAGCAACAGCAAGTACAGCAACAGGTGCAGGCACAACAACAGTCGCAGCAACATCACCATCATCAACAGCAACAGATGATGCATTCGAGTAATCAAAAAGGGGATTCGTTGTCGAGCCCGCCGTCAGTGAACTCTACCGCTCAAGCGACTATGGGCGGTCAGAGACCCGCGTCTAACGCATGCATACGACACGGATGCCCGAATCCCGCTGTAGCCAACAGCGAATGGGAGGACGAGTACTGCAGTAACGAATGCGTGGTTAGCCATTGCAGAGACGTGTTCACTACGTGGGTGTCTTCGAATCAAAATCCGCAGCAAAACTTCTCGACCGTAAAATAAGAATCTGTACACTATGATTGTAATAGCGCGATAATCCTGAACGCGTACGGCTATCGTTCGTTCCTAACCGACACGAGCACGCCTCGATGCGTTTTGTGTACATAGATTGACATGGAGGTCGCGTAAAATCAAAAAAGAAGAAAAAGAAAAAAAAAGAATAAATAAAAGAGAAAATCCCAGACCGACGACATGAACACACACCGGTCTCTCTCTCTCTCTCTCTCTCTCTCTCTCTCTCTCACTCGCTCGCTCACTCGCGCGCGCACACACACACACACACACACTGGTGCGTCATTTCAGTGAAAGACTGTTTGCGACAGCACGATGCTTGCGAACGCCGGATACTCCACTTTGATTAGGGCTGAGACTATTATTCGGATGTTACTGTTTTAATTTCATTTTTTCCGTTGTAGGTTTCCTTGTATGACAAAATTAGCCAAATGTTATTACATATTACGGCTACTTAAACGCATATGGATGTTAAGATATTCCGAATTAACTTAGGAAACTCGAGTTCGCGATAGTACTCGTGTAATGAAGTATCCACATCGTATTTAAATCATGCTTGACGAATATTTGAATCGCTAAAGGATTAGAATAAAAAACTGATTTGACGAGTAACCCTATTCTCGACGGATCTTCCGGCGCCATGACAAGCATCCTCGCTGTTATCGCGAAAGAGTATTAGAATCGCCAAAGTAGCCGATTAAATCGGGCTGTAGTTGGAAGGAATCGATATATCGTCGTCGTCGCTGTGCATTTTTCGAAGCAATCGGAAACGAAAGAACGATGAATCGAGTGTAAGTAAAATTGCATTCCTGTGGACGTGGTTAGTTAGCGACTCGTTTAACAATAATAAAGGTAATTTCGTAGGAATATATTCACAACCATAGGATACGTGTATTTAAAAGTTGTTTGCTTGGCCATGGAACGTGGGGTATTGATTGTGGTCGCAACGAACTCTAACACACGTATCGTACAATCGTTCGAACGTGCGATCGAAGGCACGAAAGTTGTCCTAACATCGTAGAAATCGGCATTTTCGAATAACTACCTTAGTTTCCGCAACGCTAACACAACTGTCGAGTCTTCGGTTGTACGCTAGCGAAATTAAGTAGCGTGACTTACGATCTCACGATACGGTGAACATACTCGTGGACCAGAGAGTCTGCGTATCAATGACGCGCACTCCGTTTCAAGTTCTTTCGCGAGTTCCAAAGTTCGGCGCGCGTATTCGAATCGACGAAAATACGCTTCCGCGAGATTCCCACGTAAAAGAAGGGATTAGGAAAACTGATTTAAACAGCGAACGAACTGGTGGTTGCGTTCTCGTTTCGAAAAAGGTGGCTGCGGACTTGCAACGCAATTTATTTTTGTATAATTTTACAAACGATCGATCCCATATATAGCAATACGCGACTCACGACGGACACGAGTAAAGAAAGAGCGACGACGTCGAGTGGTTCAGTATTGATTTGGACGGTTTCCGGTAGTTTTGTTTGTTACACACTTGGTTCGTTTGACGACCTATTTCGGGAAGATTTGTCGCGTATGGACTCCGATGTCGTTGTTCTTTAAATTGATTGCTGGCGAGCAGAGCTAGTGGTGGGACTGATACAAATCGTATCAACGATACATTATACGCATCTACCTCGCGCATAAGTGACATTTGGGTGAATGATTTCACCGCTGGCAGCGCTAATACTTGGCGAATACCCGTGTACTTTGTTCAAGTTTCGATGCTATTGAAATTAACGCTATCAATCGGTATCAATACCAAGTAGATATCGATATATCGCTGTAAATATAATATATATGGAATAGGAACTAAAATTTAATCGTTGCGAAACAAGCAATCCAAAGAAATAGATACAGTTTCGAGTAATTAACGTCTACTCGATTTTTACGGTATCGAATCGATGCATATTCGTTATAAAAGTTGAGATGTTGGTTGAAAAAGTATTAGGTATCGTACGTAATCTATTCGTGTCAGTACTCGTCCGAGCATCCAAATGGTTCAAGAGGAAACGATACTTTGTTTTCTAGTATCGATGGCATCGATACGGTATCAGTCCCATCATTGTCCAAAGCGAACCCGTGTCGTTATTTATTTGAAATTAGTCGATTGTTCAATAACGTAATCTCCTGCAGTAACGCGAGCTTTCGATCGTGGGAGAAGCATCTAAAATCGATTATCGAACTTCACTAGGCACGCAGTAGAGAAGACCGCGTACGCGCGGCAACATATGTACGCACCAAATGTGCACACAAACGCAACGCGTATGCGCGGAACGTTCATCTTGCCAAACTTTCGTGATTCTACGAGACTCTGGATCGCTGAAAGAAGCATTTGGGAATAGCGTGCTATAATGTTTGTATTGAAAGATGTAACGTTTCCGTGTGACCTTATCGATATAAGTTTTTTTAAAATCTCTTTTTTTTTTTAACATCCCTGTACATAGAGAAAGAAATATTCCATAGATTTTTAAGTATACACGATGTAAACATAATCGATAGTGTACCATACTCTGATAACAACCTTCGGTATATCATAAAAGCATACGAATATAAAACAAAACTGAATCAGCATTGTGCATATATATATACCGGGTGATTCTGGAGATTGGCACAAACTTGTAATTCGTTTCCACGCGAATTATACGAAGAATAGTTGAATTCCGTAACGAGGACTAATTTTTGAATAGTATTTCATATTAAAAGTATTGTTGCGTAGGTCTTTTATGTATGAATCGATAACGTGTTGATAAAATATTTCTTAATCAAATGATTTAGAGTTGACTTTATCCGTCGGACGTTCCACGATAACCTCAATTTTTCAATGTGTATTTGGATCCTTTGCGAGAGAAAATCAACGAATTGAAAAACGTGTCCCGTAAACATAATTAATCATACTCGATAAGTTGAAGATTAAGTCAATATGTAAAAAGAAATCGATAGTATTCAAACAATAATTGTATTCGTTGAATCCACGTAATGGAATTGTTCTAGTTGAGGTTATTGTACGCGAGCAAGCAAAGAAATAAATTTGGAAAGATGGTCCTCGGTGCATTATTCAATTCTTCTTGTGTCTTTTCATAGAAAGAAACTAAAGTTTGTTTTAGTATTTAGAATCACCATCTATAGATAAGCACGTACGTACGCATATATGTCATGTGAACGTATACGCGTCACGCTCTGGTATACACACCTCTATAAATATATATATATATGTACGTATGTATGTATGTATTATCGTATAAATGTAGAAGTGTGTACTTACGGGCGTGTACATACACATGCATACACAAAGTGTAAAAAGTAATTGCCAATGCATTGCCGAGTAAAACTGAGCGGACATCGATTCACCTACGACACTATTCGAGAGATACACGAAGCAAGGCACAGAGGAATAAATCGTATAAAATCATCGCATCGTGTAAACCATGATAAAAATAGAGGAAACAAATTTTCCTCCGACATTAGTCATAATCGCGTCGAGATCTGTATACTAAAAAAAAAAAGGAAAAGAAAATAAATTTAGAAAATATCGAGTTACCTATGTTAGTAGCAGTGATGGACATTCATGGGATTTTTCCTGATCATGCGCATTGGAGCGAGCGTTGCAGTCCTCAATGCTGTATATACTTACTTAGAATTTAGGGTACCATTGGATCCCAATAAGGAACAAAATATAATAATGTCCTCTTCTTTTCCTCGATGATTCCTGACGTGGACGCCTGCGGTTCGTTATCCATTTTTTTTTAAATTTTCCCTAATATTACACTCACGAACACTAACATTCTTGCATCACTCGAATATCATGTTCTTATACTTAATATCAGAAGTAAAATTCGAGTCAAATTCGATTAGTGCCACCTCCTCGTTCATCATGATCTCCTCATACAAAAGGTAAGTTTCAAGTAAAAAATAAAAATTATGATACCTACTCGTTCACTACGTTCTCCTGATACAAGAGGTAAGTATCGATATTTAATTAAAAGTTTGCTACTTCTTTGAGTATCATCTTCTCCTGATATTAAAATGTAAAATTTCCTCAGAATTTCGATGCGTACTATTACGTACAATGTATTTCTCGTGCCACCTCTTCGCACAGGTGCACATGAACGAAACGTACCGAAAATTAGCCCCTTAAATTAGGCAACCTGTACTGACAGACATGTCGATCGGTTGCCGGTCCGTAGGCGCAAACCTGCCACCTCTTCGCATATCATGTGCTCCTGAT